CCAAACACTATTGACTTCCATTTTGTGCGAGATCAAGTTATCCACTGTCAACTACGAGTTTCTCATGTCCATTCAACTGATCAGTTAGTCGACTCACTCACGAATTTTTTCACTCACCACCTTTTTGCATTACATCAGTCCATGATTGGCATCCTTGATAGGAGCACCATCTTGTGGGGATATGATAGCAGATAAGATTTTCTCAACTATATGAGGATATTTTTCTACTCTGTTCAGAGAAATTCTCTAATCTGTTAAGGGAAATACACCCTTATATAGGAGAGGGACATATGAATACAATCAAGCTTCTTCAGGGAAGGGCACGAGCTCTTCCGCCCATGTCATTGCCTATGTGGTAATTAAGTTATTACTTTTTCTATCAGATCCATGGTAAGTTTTGAAAACCTGGTTTCTTTGGTGGAAGTCAGGTTTTCCTCCTGGAGATTTTGAGCTCTGATGAGTAAAAGGAAACGACCTGAGACCCTCCCTTATATTACAAGGAATACATACCTCACCTACAATGCTCAAACATTTTTTTTGATGTATACGTTCTTTCTTTTACTTTTTAACTATGTTAGAAGATTGGTTGTGTAAGCTAACCGCGGACCATTCAAACTTTGCAAATTATTATAAGAAACAAATCCTTAAGCATTCGCTACATGTTCTTTGTATTATGATCTCGTGGTGAGGCAGAGGCACCCTTGGTGCTGGGAAACCCCAGGGATGACTGCAGCAGGAGACTCCCTTGCTGGGTGTTCAAATTCAACCCCGGCAACCTGTTAAAGTAGCTCGACGTCGCACAACCATTCCCTTGTGGTGCCGCCGGGAAGGGAAGCGCAAGTGAATTCAAGTGCTGCTCTCCCCACTCGAGACCATGGCCAACAGCTTCCTTGCCTCCGCGAGCTTCGACATATGATGTTATGGTGGCCGCTAGTGCCGAATGGAACTTAGGATCCGACGTGATCGCCTTTGCAAGCGTGTCAGTCAACGGATGCTGGTTTGGAGGAGTGCTTGGCTTGGTGGTCTTCTGCAGATAGGATCGATAAAGATAGTCATGGGGTTGCCTGCCAAGGCTCAGAGATACTGAGCTCTTGTCATATGGCTTGGCTCCATTGTTCAAGTATTTACTGATCTCATACGTCGGCAAGCTATTAGTATCTGAGGATGAGATGTTGAATCCCGTTGACGAGTATCTTGGGGTGGTGGTGGTGAAGTTTGATGAGAAACTGCTGAATTGGTTTGCTTGGAAACTGCATGATGGTGGTACGGTGAGATCTAAAGTGATTGTGGGATGGGAAGTAATGGAAGAGATTAAAGGGTTTGGAAGATGAAACTGCTGCGATCTGAGATTGTCTGAAACGCTGAGATTTAGGCCATGAAGGTTGCCATTAATAGAGGTGGCGAGGTTGCACATGGCGGTGGAAAACGAGCCAGGGAAACCGACGGCAGGTTGCGATGCTGATGAACCAGACAACAGCATGCTGGCGGCAGCTGCGGTCGTGGAGGCCATGGCAGAGGCTGAGATTGGCAGTGGATGGTTGTGAGTCCCTTCGTAGGTGGTGATCAATATCGACATATCCTCTTGACATCTTTGCACCTGAACATTTCAGAGAAACAACCGAATTAATATAGATTGCTAGATTTTGATGATGATGATGAGTAATCTTCAGTTAATATGTACGACAAATTGAGGTGGAAGTCAGAGATTAGGGAGCTTAATCTTCTGTGTATACCATTTAGTATACAGAAGATGATTGTATCATGCAAACCCTAAATAAACTACTCTGGACAAGAGGTAGGAAGTAGTTTATATATGACTCAATGATGTTAGTTCTTAGAATTATCTACAACCATCAGAAATAGCATATATAATGAATTTAAGGATCATCTAATGCAATCAACAATCAGGGAAGAGATACCTGCTTCCTCACCGGGCATGCTGGTGCAACTGTGCAACGATAGTAAGCTCGAGGGCATGGATTTCCTTTTGATATTTTCTGCCCATATTTCCTCCACTGGCAACCATCATTCATCTGAAATCAAAACAAATCTGATGAGGATTTGAAGTTCTCAACATTTCTGTACTACTTATGTTTGCTTACTCTTATCATGTTAATATGTAATAGTTATGTTGCAAACTAATGTAATTAACATACTGTATCCACAAAGAATGCGCATGCATGCATGTATGCAATGAAGATGATGATGATTCATGTTTGATGAGATGATGACATAGTTTGGAGTACAGACCGTGGTGCCATCGCATCTTGCTCTAACGGATACGCGAGCTTTCTTGACTAGGGGTTGCTGTGAAACCTCATCATCTCCATTTCTGGCACTCTTCGCTGCTTTGCTTGGTGGCCATGGCTCCGCGCCGGTATCTTCTTCCTTGAGCTCCTCGGAGCTGTTGTCTGAGCTCAGATTCAGCACCGGCTCTTTGAGACTGTCATCAGACCCTTCAAATTTCATGTTCAGTCCGAGCGTTAGGCATCCTCCAAACCTTTCACTGTCTTTGCCTGTAACTATTTTCATCTTGTCTTCCTTCCTTTGCCCACTTGAGCTTGTCCCAAGTCTCAATGAGATAGTTTCTTCCACTTCTTCATCATCAGCTGGTGTGTTCTTAATAGGCTTCTTAGCTTGCTCTCGTCGAACAACATCGGAGAGAGACCGGTAATCCTCGGTAATCTGAGTTAAAATCATCTTCAATCTTTCGTTTTCTTCCCTCACCTCAACCATTTCTGCTTTAGTGGATTCAAGTCGGTGTTCCTACAAAAATTTAAACATGCTCATGAAACATATATTATGCTTATTGATTTAATCAATCATTCTTTGGATAGCCTAAAACAATTTTTGGTAAACAAGGTTTAAGTCTAGAAGAAGTGGACTAACTTCTATTGGAAGACAAAGCTTACCTGAGTAAGTGAAGTTGAATCTTTGGGGTTTGAAGATGATGGCCTTGCAGATGTGCACTCCATGGCCCATTTTTCACTTGGAATCAAGGTGGAATCCTGTTAAGCAAACACATGTAGCTAAGAACCTTAAACAGGAGATAGATGTGAAGCTATTTACTTGGGTTTCTGCTGTTGTGATGGCAAAGACTAATTCTTGGTTCACTCGATATACATAAAATTGTGATTAACATACTCTTGATTGGTGGAAGACGTTCTTGGTGGATAATATCTCTCTTGTTGAATGGTTCTAAATTCTATCCTCCTAAAATCGAATAAATACTAAGAACAGATCTTAGACTAACATCCTAAAACCAAGGGAAACACCATGCGGAATCATGCATATTGTGTACTATTAGCCAAATCATTAGTTATGACATAATATATCATAAGCAACTGCTAATATATTTAGATAACCACGACCTTGATGTTCTTCAAGATGGTTTATCTAGTCATCAACGAGCATAAGAAAATAATTAGTTATCTTATCCGTCGGATTCCAAACCTAAGCTCCATATGATGAGTAGAAGTTGGGAGATACTCCTTTGGAACAAAAAGAAACAGTATGAATTTCTATGATGCACACAAAAGAGATCCATCTTGATTTCTTCCTAATGTAAAATTAAACAAATACAATTATAGGTAGAATTGCTTCTCTTATCTGAGAGTTAAAAGTTGAGTTCATGTTTGTTGACATCAACATCTTCTTGGATGAGGTCAAGTGCATGATTTCGATGTATCAAAAGAACATGTTAGGGTCATGAGATCAAATTGGCCCTCCCAAAAGTTACAATAGATGCCGAGATTTGAACCGTATGCTGGTCTTATACGAAAACATTCTCCAATATGTAGCATCCATAAATTAGATGAGAGGCAGAAAGTAGAAGAAGCATTTCTACACAATTCCTAGACCTTTGCAGTACTGAATTCACGCATCAAAGTGCCAGAGACAGATAAGAGGAAGCCAAACCTCTCTGATTTGGTCGCCATGGTCGTCGTGAAAACACCCTACTTGTCTCTCCTCCTCAACATCAGGCTTCTCGACCACCACCTCCATCGCGACAAACAAAGGTCTCCTCCTCCTCTTCCTATGGCACGTACAGTATTGTGATCCGTCTTCTAAATTGCCATCGTCCTTGAACTCCCCCTTAATATATATATATATATATAAAGGGAAGCCTCCAGCTTTGACTTGTTTAAAGAAAACCAAATCCGAGCGCTTATCTACCAGGCAAAAAGTATGTAAAATGTCAACATGGCCTTAAGGTCTCTGAAATAAGCCGAAAAGAAAGCCGAGGAGATTCAACGTGTGAGACATGTTGTCACTTGGAGCGCTTCCAGCCGCAGTCTTCGGACCCCTTTGAACTTTCGTTCTTCCACCACCTTGACCTAATCCGCTCCTGGTTTCCCACCTCTCACCGTTCCCAGATTCCGCAGGCATTAGATTAACCGCGGGCTAGGATTTATGGATTCTCATTATTTACCTACGACAAGGTCACAAGTCAACGCCAAGAGGTGACTTTTACGAAGTTGTGAAAATTTCTCTTGCACATACAGACGACTTTGTGAGGCTGCCATTATCTCTGTTCTCTTTGTCCCAAGGATATTGTAGTTTCTGAATTCCTCATGCTGCCGTATATCTTATAAATCTAATATATGCATGCGCATATGATATCCTTGTTTGATCATTTGTTATTTTTTTTAGTCATTATTAGACGACTCAATCTGAATTCAGCTCTTAGATGACGTATATAGTAGATTTTTTTATAAAAAATAAATGACGAAGACGAAATTCGAGTTCAGAACCATATGACATAACTTTATAAGAAAAATGAAAATATACTATGCTTAATATTAGTTAACTTCAATATTTATTTGGAAAAATTATAATATATAATGAACAAATTATTATCGAACGAGATGGCTACTTGTTTTAGAGTAAATTGTCTCGAGATATATCACAAGGTGTTGAAACACTGGCGTTGAATTTTCTTTTCTGAACCTTAGCATAATCCTGGTTAGGTAATGGCGTCTCCTTCAAGCTTCAAACACATGTCATCTCTTGCAGATCATGCTTCATTTTTTCTTGGATGGTTTCAGTTGAATAAGTAAAGAAGAAAACAAGAAGAAGTTTTCCAGTGATCTCATGATGCCGACTGGTTCCCCTTTTTTTAAAGATGAATAGATGTGCGTAAAACGTAGAGCCATTAGTCAATGCGCGCATTCCAAGGGTCAAAGCTCCTCTCTATTTTTGATGAAGTTGACAAAGGAAGCAGAAAATGGAAGGAGCCACTGAGTCCGCGTAGACCTCCTCCTCCATGATCTGTCCTTATATGAACTTATTCTACCATGTGAGCCGAGCTTAGAATAGTTTCTTCAAACCGGCCTGGTGATGTTTACACTCAAAAGACAAAAAAATAGACTATAATATTATATAATATTAATATTTATTGAAAGGTATTGATTAGTACGTCAATCTTTGTTAAAGAATAACAAAAGGAAAAGAAAATGCTGTCGCCATATTAAAGTAGTTCAATGCTTTGATCAGACCTCCATATAGGCTTTTTAAGATGAAGCTGGACTGACCCTTATTTTAAGCTTTGATCAGGACTTCAAGTAAGATTTGCTCCCTAGCGTCAACAATGGAATTGAAGAACACCAAAGGAACTGCAAATTCCTACCTCTGACATTACATCAACTTGCTACTGATAAACGAAGTATCACCATCGTGGCAGTTCATTAAGACCACTTGCAGGAAGTTCCACTGGCACTAATTGTTTATCCAAGAAGGGCAATCTTGGTGATTCAATCATCATCATTTAAGCCAAAAATCTTTCGCTTACCCTCGTGCTCCGTCCATTAAGCTTCACAAGAATTCTTTCTTCGTCGGAGGGCGAAGAAGGAGAAAGCACAGCCACCAAAGTTGCTGGTGAAAATAGTTTGATACTGTTTATGGAACTAATTAATCGATATTAGACAACATATCAAGCTATATTGACGTATATATAAGCTCAGTGTCGGCAACATGGACACTGAATGAAGGGTGTATTCTTCTTGCGTTCTTAGAACATATCTGCTCCTCTGACAAACCAAGACAAAGGTGTAATTCGGTACACCAAATATTTTGCGGCAACGCAAAGTTGACCAGCAAACCTTTAGATTTAGGCATCAGTCTAACCTACTTCCTGCAAGAATGGCTGCTATATCCACTATTTTGCAGAATTAATTAGCTGTCAGTAGTTGAAATTAATAAGAGATATCAAAATGTCAATGGAGGTTGCGTGTAATGGCTAGTCATCTGCCAGGCTCCTCCTGGCCTGATGAACATGTATGTCCATTGTCACTTACCTTCAACGCAGGAAAACACAAACTGCAATTGGCCTTGTTGATGGATGGGACGAGATGTGGCTTAAAGGCCAGATAACCTACCATCGAAAGCCACATGATGCTAAAACAGATAGCACATAATACGTACCTAAGTACATATTTGACACTGATCCACAACCATGTAAAAGTGGCAGGAATCCCTTTATAAGCAAAAGAACTTGTAGATATGTAGTATGTGAAGCAATAATTAATGATATGTTTGTACTCCAGTAGCTGTCGCCTCCAATGGTTCAGAAAACAGTCATCATAGTGGAGCAAAGTAGTCCAGTCATCTGGTATTCCCTCAAAAGAAAATTAGACAATGTCCATTATGCATGCTACCTTTTATCTTTAGTATATATCCGATGTTAAAAGCTTAAGGATAGTTTGGTCGATTGCCACATAATTAATGTCATTTGGAGTAGCATCTTTGAAGTGTTAATGTAAAATATTGACAATTTGCTGGGGATTACATTGGTTGTGGGAGGGATATATCATGATTACAGAATATGATAATGGACTTGATTGGCTGAGTTACACTCAGATGGAATTACTTTTGATCTTCCTTTTGGTGTTTTACTAAATTTGGTTGTAGATCAGTGACCAAGTTGCATCTTTTGACTCTCCCAGCAAACATTGAATACAAGAGGAAAGGATTGGTAATAATGGTTTCTTTGGTTTAGAAAAGAGACCCCCCAACTGGACTAGGATCATACCTTTGTGCTGCAGGGGCCTAAAAAGAAGCTATTATTTTTTCAAACAAAGAGAACTATATATTAACTTAATAATCTATGATTATAGAAGTCACCCTTGACATCAAAGCGCAACAAAAATTAAAAAAAAAAGATAAAAATCTAGCCACAAATAATTGTTTTTATTTTTCAATATATAACACTCGACTAAAACCTGAGATATATCAATTGTACAATAATACGTTAATCATTTCGGATATCTTTATAGAGATACAATATTTTCCTATTCAATCTCTCAAAATTTAGGAACCAACCTTATTACCCTCCCAAAAACATTAGTTAACACAAAACCATCGATAATAGACTGAAAAATATCTTT